GTGAACAGGTGAGTGCAACCACATTTATCATCTACCACACCCATGAGACACGCCCCACACCCGTGCACCAATACAGTGAGTCCATTTAAACCAACCCACTTAGTCAAAAAAGGAACAACTCATATGGCTCCTACATACCGGCCCCTAATTATTTTAGAGCAATAATACAAGTACAAGTCCTTTACCGTCAGAAATTGCTTCCACAATCCTTCCAGTCACCCAAGAGTTACGAGGCGCAGAATTATTGACAACGATAACCACATCCCCAGGAATGAAGTTCCGTCCGATTCTCTGCCACTTCTGACGCTCTTGAAGCTGGGGCAGGTACTCCTTAACCCAGCGCTTCCAGAACAGGTCAGACATGTACTGTACTTGCCTCCATCGACGTCATCCATACACGTCCCCCATCTGAAACACTCCTGGTGGTATCAATGGCTTGGTCTTAAGCAGCAACAGATGGTTAGGAGTCAAGGCCTCCAAATTATTAGGATCAGTAGAGGCTTTGGTTATTGGTCTACTGTTCACAATAGCCTCTGCCTCACAAAGAACTGTATAAAGGCCTTCTTCGTCCAAATTCTGCACTTTCAAAATGGAATTTAACACCTTCCTGACAGACCTTATGAGATGTTCCCAAACACCGCCAACGCCAGTTTTGCCTCATGCTCACCCTACCTTTCTGCTCATCAACATCAGGTGCGGTGAACAGGTGAGTGCAACCACATTTATCATCTACCACACCCATGAGACACGCTCCACACCCGTGCACCAATACAGTGAGTCCAATCAAATCAACCCACTTAGTCAAAAAAGGAACAACTCGTATGGCTCCTACAGGTTGTATCCCAATTCAGGGTCTGCAGCCTTAACGGTCCACAAGGGCCGCGTACTTAAAGACCGCTAAGGCCGGAAGTGCGAGGCTTGTGAAATCGGACGGCCTACCCTCCGTCGCGCCGCCCAACCATGATACTAACAGCTGGAAACGTTTCATACAGCTTTGTTTGACAGAAATGAAGGAGAAAATCTTTTGTTCATTTGTTTGTTTGTTTCTACATGAGCTTTGATCATTCTCTGTAAGATTAAGGTCAGCTATTGAACGGCGTATATTTTAAAGTAAAGGCTTTAAAACCAAGTTAGTACAAACGTCACTAATGTCACATAACTTTGCCGACATGTGGCCAACAGTAATGTTTTAATGTTCTTCATTATTAAACATTTGCACATAAATAAGTGACATAATATTCAGTACTTACTTAAAGTTTACTCTTCGGGCGCCCCTCATCCGCCGTTTTTTTTCGGCAAAATTATCCACACCCACTGCCGCGCTATGCATTCTGGGATATGTTGGGCCACGAAGTCTACACGGCCACATCCTTGAAATTCAGGGAAATGAAGGACGCATTTGAGGGCCGCATTTCGAGCAGCCTTCGAATTGGGACAGCCTTCGTCGCGTCGCTGTGACGTAATCGGCCTTAAAATGCAGCCTTTAAGGCTGCAGACCCTGAATCGGGATACAGCCATAGATTCTCGTACCTGTTAAGAGACGCGCAGCTGCATTCTGAACTAACTGAAGCTGGTAAAGAGAAGAGTGTTGGAGGCCCGAGTAGAGGGAGTTACAGTAGTCCAGTCTGGATGTGATAAATGCGTGGATAAGCTTTTCAAGGTCCATTAATGACCTTTAAGTCTTTGCTTTGGATATCTGACGCAACTGGTAAAAGCTGTTTTTTTTTTTTTACCACAGTGGAGACCTGTTTCTCACATTTAAAACAGCTCTCCAGGAACACTCCAAGGTTTCTTACAGTGAGCGAGAGATGGCTAGCAAGAGGGCCAAGGGCACCAGCTAACTGGTCTGGCGGACTATGGTTTCGGTCTTATTCTTGATTCAGTGTAAGAAAATTATGTGATAACAAAATTTTAACTTCTTGCAGACAGTTGAACAGAGGTTGCAAAGATGCAGACACATCGGATTTCAAAGGTGAATAAATCTGGATATCATCGACATAACAGTGAAAGGAGATGTTATATTTTTTTAAGAAATTAATCCCAACAGTAACATGTACAAAGAGAAAAGAGCAGGACCGAGCACAGACCCTTGAGGCACACCATAATAAATAGGTTCAGAGGCCGAGAAGTGTTGCCCCATAGCAACAGAGAACGACCTCTCTTGGAGGTAAGATTTAAACCAGGATAAAACCGTACCTTTAAGACCAACAACATGTCCCAGTCTTGATAGAAGAATGTTGTGGTTAACTGTGTCAAAAGCTGCAGTAAAGTCTAGTAAAACTAAAACCACAGAATAGCCAGAGTCAGCATTTAAAAGATCATTAAAAACTCATTTGTCGCAACATGTGAATTTAAATAGGCCTTGTGGATGCCACCACATTTACCCCGTGTCCGTGAACGTTTCCTTTGAGGAAATCTTAAAATCATGCGTCTGGTAGTCCAAAGGCCGGAGATTCAAAAGAGTTTGGTGATCATATGCAAGTAACGTGAAGACATCAGGGCAGCACATAGAGAGAAGGACGACAAACAGCAAAGAGCGGAGGAGACGGCTTGCCACGAACACTGGCACAATCTTTGATAACCAAGTATGTAGTATACATACATGTAAGTATGTAGGGAGTTTGATGTGCAGTGGATTTCGCTAAATCAGCTGAAACTACTGTTTCCATAATGTGTCAAAAATCATGTATCACCCCATGTGTTTGCCTATGTTCTGCGATCACTGCACATCCTATTTGATTTTAACTGGGAGCTTGGTTGCGTGATGCCAAATCATCCACAAAGACCCTCAGGTTAGAGTTAGTCAGCAATGCTTCCTGTGGGTCAAGTCTGGATGAACAGATTGCAGAAATGGCTGCTATAAAATCACGTCGTTCACCTTCTGCTGCTGTGAGAGAAGCGATGCTGGGTTTAACCCAGTACATCTCTTAATTGTGACATTTGGCATTATTCAATAATAAGCAGCTAGTAAATACATAGTTTTTGCTGTAGAAGGATCAGTGACACAAAATGTTCAACTAAAGGGTTACGTCTGGATTGTCCACAAACTCATGTGAAGCTAAAACGTCTTTCCAGCTGCTGCTACTGCTCGCAGGTAAGGGGAAGCCCGCTGGTCTCTGTTATTCCCCACAATCCTGCAACAAAATATGTATCCAACCTAATTTCTCCTGATCATCCTTTTTGCCTTTTTATCTCCTTAATTTTCCTCTTGTACCGCAATGACATTTTTTTTTTAATGTAAGTTAATTACATTTCAGATTTCATAAATTAAAGAATTTGTACTTGGAAAACTACAATACAATCAGAAACTGAAGTTGGTCTCAGATGCTCTTCACTCTGGGTTCTTTATCAATTGAGATTTCAGCGGTGACCCCCTCTGGTCTCTGTTGTCATTCACACACCTCCACAATAATTTCTTCATAGATAAGAACTCTTTTAGATTTATCCATCTACCTACAATTTTTGTGGAAAAATAATATGAGCACCAAAACCAACAGATTTTCTGAAATTTATGAAAGAAAGTTACAACATTTTGCAAAGGGATCAATACAGCACGAACAGGGTTTGTACCAACATTAATAAAATGCAAAATTATAACAGCTCCTTTATAGCCCTCGTGTGGATGCAATCTTTCTTTGTTCAGCAGTTAGTAAGAAATTCACACTATCACATAGGCACCAGCTCGATAATGTATTGTGTCATGGCCTCAAGCAAAGCTTACGGTCAGTTGTTTTCTCTCTTCATACACTGTCTTTGTACAAAAAAGTTACAATTACATACTGATGCTGCACAGAGGTTAGATGAGATGAAAACACTAATTTTCCATCACAGAGGTAACACTAAAAGCCTGTTGTTGGCCTGACTGAATCTCCTGTGCTGCCACCTGCTGGTGATATGCTGTCACAGTGCTTAACAGTCTCTCCTGGAACCTTTAAATAGTTCAGATGCCCAGGGACAAAAGCTACAGTTCAATAAAGCATTTGCATTTTAACTGATGCCACATTTTTTGATGAACCAGAAACACTACTCCTTAAATTCACTATAACACAGGTGAAGCAAAATTGAACATAATGCGCACAGGCTGAGTGACTATCAAAATAAAACAGGAAGTCAAGAACACACACTGAGACGCAGACTGACAAAATACAGGGAAGAGGAGGAAGGAGACAGACACGACTAGGAAGACACAGAACGAGGGTGAGAAAGCCAGGGGCACAGAGAGCCAGAGACAAAGACTGGGGAAAGGCAAATAAACATGGAGACAAGACTGAACACAGGAAGAGATGCAGGGAGAAGACACACCGCGTAAGAAAAGGAACTGACTAAACTAAAACAGTAGAAGAAGTAGAAAATTAAATAACAAAAACTCAGAGGCTCTCTAAACATCCCAGAATCCCAGTAGACTGCAAAAACAAACAAGTTTAACAAACTTGTTGTTTGTTACAACCAAGGGTCAAAATATCCCTAACAACAAAGTCCCTATGATTCGTGGGAAACACAAACCCCTCCACCAGGATAAGGTAGCAATTCACGGAGGATTTTAAACTAACATTTGATACAAAAATGTGTATATATATAAATTTACATCAGTTTATGGATAACATGATTCAAGTAAAGGAAATCATGCACCAATGTCCATGAGTCCCATTCACAGAGAGTTGGGGAATGGCTTCAATCACAGCATTGTAAGATGGTGACAGATGTACCCTTAGGCCCCCTCCTCGATTCAGAGATGGTCTTTCCCTTTTCACGTAAATGGCCTCCTTGACTCCACGCTCAAACCAGCGTTCCTCCCTGTCCAGGATGTGTACATCCTCATCCTTGAAAGAGTGTCCACTAGCCTGTAGGTGTAAATAGACGGCAGAGTCCTGGCCTGACGCGGTAGCTCTTCTGTGTTGTGCCATCCGCTTCACCAGAGGTTGTTTGGTTTCCCCGATGTATAAATCCTGGCAATCCTCCTGCACTTAACAGCGTACACTATGTTACTCTGTTTGTGTTGGGGGACCCGATCCTTGGGGTGGACCAATTTTTGGCGCAGCGTGTTTTGGGGTTTAAAAGCCACAGAGACCCGGTGTTTAGAAAAAATGCGTCTCAACTGCTTTGATGCTCCTGACACATACATCACCATCTCTGAATCGAGGAGGGGGCCTAAGGGTACACCTTTCGCCATCTTACAATGTTACAATCAATGTTGTGATTGCGGCCATTCCCCAACTCTCTGTGAATGGTACTCATGGTCATTGATCAGTGGTCTTTGATCAGTGGGTTTTGGTCAGTGGTTGTTGATCAATGGTCATGAGAATTTGCATAATTATGATTAAGGAACTGACCTCACAGCCCATCATTCCTTCAGTGGGCTGGTT